ACTACTTTGGCGATTTGTCGTGCTTGGCGTGTGAAAAGGCTGTAGTTTTCGTAGCACAATCTCAATGACGGACATAATTTTTTATAACCATTAATTTGTGAACTTAAGCTCTACAAGTCATTGCAGAAAGTCATGTCGTGTTTTAGAATACCGCGATAACCGCGAATGCCGCAAACGCCGCGATAATGTTACCCCCATCTCAACATTGCATGACCCCATCTAAAACTGTGTTAGTGCACCAGCCCCAAAGCTGCCATAAGAATTGCCTTTGCTAGTGACCATGGCTCGACTTTGACCCACTGAGGGTGCGGTTTTGAAGGATATGGGCTTGTTTTGCACCAGAGGACCGTTTTCCAATTGTCCACAGATGAACGAATTTTGGCAGCACTACGCCACGCCGTTCAGAGGTTTCTCTGGGGAAAAACCGCCTATTGTGATGGCTGATAAATTAAGCCTAAACTGACCAGCACGTGCTGATGACCTGCGATATTTTTGTTATATCACGTAGAAACTTTTCACAGTCAACATTTTACAGATCTCACCGAAACACAACACTGGCTCCGTGCCTCCGACACCCTGAATGGCGACGGACATGAAAACAGCACTTCGCTAAGGACGGAGACTGCGGAATCATGCCGCATTCGTGCACGCGTCAGTGCTCGCAACGGCACAGCTCCAGAATTTGCGACGGGGAAGGGGGAGGAGGGCTAACAGGGCTTGCGACGGTGGGGCCACACCCATTCACGGTGCTTATGCACTGCGAGTACACTACGGGCCCTCAAACAGCAGCAGAAATGGACAGCGCTACCGGGCTCTCAACGTTGGCTCGCTTTGCCACCAACAATTGTCTCAGCTGCGCACGGGACGTATCCATTCGGCTATTCGCTGACGTCACTAAATTTCTGTCGTAAGAAACCTAAGTGACGGGATGGACGACCTGTTGCGCTTGCGGTCCAAAAATAACGAAATCTACCACCGATTTGATCAATTTGAAGGACTTGGGAGTAGCTGCCTTGTGCACACCTACGATTTAAGAAGCAGGTCAGCCAGGTGCGAGAGTGTGCGGATATCGGACCGTCGGGTGCCGATGACGATCGTGAATCGTGATCGTGATCGTGAATCGGAGGAGTAGCGCCACTGTCAACGCCATTTAGTTATCGTTGTGTGTGCGGCTTTGTTGTCTGCGCTGCACGTTTTTTCTTCCTTTTTGTTTTCGGCTCCCCTTGGTTGAAGGCCATGCGAACAGCAGCCCCCCCCCCCCCAACCCTGTGTCATCTTTCAACACCCTATGTTCTATTTCGGAAAACCATTGACTCATGGCTTGCTGGGGGGGGGGGGGGGGGGGAACGCCGGGGCAAATCATTGCCAACGGCAAACATGAGACTTAAACCCAAAATAGTTGCACTGACCACCAAGTTGCGAAATGATATTCAATAGTGTTGTGGTGAAGAAAAAACTGCGCTCGATTCTGACGAGGGAAAGGGGTGGGGCTTAAGTCCAATGACACCCCCCCCCCTCATTTCCCCACTTGACAGCACCTCTGCTAGATGGTAATTGATAGATCAGCCACCTTCTTTGAGCTCCTGTCACGCGGAACAAGTCGTCATGTCAGCACCCCAAGGTCATGTCAGCGCCCCAGGGTCATATCAGCGCCCCATGACAGCGTCATGGTCAGCATCCCCGGGTTAGCATGCTCCCACACTTCTAAATAAAAAAAAAAACAGCAGCGCCGCACAGCACACAGCGCTGGGCCCGTGGCACATTGGAAACACGAGCACATTGCAGCCACCGCTCCGGCGGAGAGTGGAGCCGTTTTCCTAGAACGGGTAATGAACTGAACCACTGTCACCCCCCTCCCCCCCCCCCGCTGGTGTCTTAATCAAGCGCCGCGTTTGAGTCGATGAGTTCGGTCAGCAAACATTTTCGGCGGCGTGCGGCTTTCGCGACGGGTCCTTCGTTAGGCAGTTACCGCGCGTCAGCCGGGGCACGCGATCATATGAATCACGAGCCTTCAGTGCAGACTCTACGCCCCGTTTCACTACCTGGTGTCCCTAAAGGCGCCAAAGATTTTCTCACCACCCTTGGGATAGCCGCGGTGGCAACGGTCAGAAAACCGGGGGTAAAATCAAAAACCACCCCTATGACGCTCAATGGTTCTTTGGGCCCAGAGCGGCGCTGAGGCCGTGTTGGGATCCGTGCCAAAAGTAGTGGGGATAGCCGGCGACGCTCGCGCCTGCCGCCCGCCGTCTATGACACGCACCCAACTCCCACCTGTTCGCGACGCACCAGAGTGGTGGGGGTGGGGACGGGGGACTGAAAGGCGCCACTGTGCGACCGCGCAGTGCAGGGCAGGCAGGCCCCGGCGAAGCGAGCCGGCCTGGGCCGGCACCCAAGGCCATCCGTTTGATCACGCCGCCAGTAGCGGGAACGTAACGGGAATGCAACGGGAACGTAACGGGACCGACAAGACCGGGCGCCGGCAGTTGCAGCTAGCTATTAATACACACAAGCACAAGCACGAAGCATTTAGCACGGCTTACCTTGCATTGTGTGCGTCCCGCGGCGTCGCTCGAACAAGGCTAAGTACAGACGCGTGAATACCGCAGTTGCCAGCGAATCGCCAAAATCTTCAAGCACCGCGACGTGTTAACCCGGCGACCGAGTCGCCCGCGGCGCGCGCAGCCAAGTTTGCATCTGTTGCTACACTCAGGGCCGGGACGATCTAGCCTGGGGCCAGGAGTCGGCGGGTGTCGGATCGGGCAGAGCTGGAAACGGATTTTCGGCCTTCGTTTCCACTCAATTTTCCCTACCCGGACCCTCGAAAATGGACAACAGTGCCGCCACGCCTACCCCCACTAGTACTGCACTCAGTGGCGTAACCAGACTTTGGCCAAGGCGCGGTGTGACAAATATCGAACAAACGCCAAAA